CCGTTGGGTGAAGTACTTCAACGAGCAGTTCAGCTGTCTAGGCGCTAACCATGCTATCTTCTCGGATGTAGCTGAGGCTCCGTGGGCAGTGTCATCTGAACCTCCTACTGCAGCAGAAGTTCGATCTTGCATCCAAACCCTGAAGAAAGGAAAAACAGCAGGACCGGACGGGCTTCCTCTCACTCTTTTCAAGATGGGGGGAGGGCGATGACCTTGTTGACTCCATTACTGATGTGATGCGTGACATCTGGTCACACGAGCGCATTTCATCATCCTGGAGCGAATCACTGATTGTTTCAATTTTAAAAAGGGATCTCGCAATGACTGCGCAAACCACCGTGGAATAAGTTTGATCCCAATCGTCATCAAGTTGCTAGCCTCCATGATGCTCCGACGTCTGACGCCGTTTGGGAGACAAACATCCGCGAACAACAAGCAGGATTTCGACCAGGTCGCGGTTGTATCGACCAAATCTTAACTCTGCGTCAAGTCCTTGAGCTACGCCATATGCACCGTCGACCTAAAAGGAGCCTTCGACGCAGTTGATCGTGAATCCCTTATGGGTTCACTCCTTCGCTAAGGATTGTCGCAGAAGTATGTGAACATACTGAGTCCACTCTACTCACATACCTCTGGTTGCGTAAAGGTCCACGGCGAGCTGAGTAGGTCGTTCGTAACTAGCAGCGGTGTTCGTCAAGGGTGCCCTCTTTCGCCATTCCAGTTCAATTTCGTCATAGACCAAATACTGGAGAACACACTAAGTGGTCTCCAAAATGTAGGTATTGAATGGGTAGCTGGGGAAAAGCTGTGCGATTTGGAGTACGCTGACGACATTGTTTGCTGGTTGGAATGTATGAAGGATGCACAAAGAGCACTTGACAGATTAGCAAGCTCTGTCGCTCCGTTCGGCATGTGCTTTGCACCTTCAAATTGCAAAGTGATGCTACAAGACTGGGTGTCATCAAGTTCTGTTCTGAAACTAGACGGCCAGGAATTAGCTGAAGTTGACTGCTTCTCGTACTTAGGTAGCTGCGTGAGCAACGACGATAGCGCATCGAAGGAGATAACCGCCCGGGTTTCCAAGGCTCGAGCAGCGTACGCAGGGATAAAATATCTGCGGCGGCGAAGTGACGTGTCACTGAAGTTGAAAAGTTGCATATACTTTGCCACCGTACGATCAGTTCTACTTTACGGCTGTGAGACCTTGAATTTGCGGATAGAAGACGCCCGTCGTTTAGCAGTGTTCGACAATCGATACTGGCCCAGGTTGGATGGAGTGAGCGGGTTAGTAACTTAGAAGTAAGTCGTCGGGTGTTTGGGAATACATCAAAAAAGAACTCTCTGTTTCATCGAATCCAGATCAGTAGGCTCCGTTGTTTAGGACACGTTTTGCATATGTCCGACGGTCACCTATNTCACAGCGCACCTTGTATGCAGTGACTGTTACAGGCTGGAAAAGCCACGTGGAGGCCCTCAGATGACATGAAGACTAGGCATGAAGAAATGCACAGAGCGATTAGGTAGAGTAGGTGTCTCTCGTCTTCCGGGTTGGGATCTAAAAGACCCCAAAACCGCGTGATTGGAGACACTGATGGTCATGGCTGCGAACCGACAGCAATGGCGATCATGCGGTCACTTCTTATCAGACCAGAATGCTTGAAATTGCATGTATGCACAGTTGGGCAGTGTACTCTGTGTGTTGATCATAGAGGTTCGTTTTCTTTTCCCGTCTCTAAAAATAGGCCCAATCCCTGTCCTCCTTACAGATTCTCACTTATCTTGTATGCATTATGAGTTTGGCAGAGATCAATGAAGTTCGCTTCACTGTATTACGCTGTACGATGATGATGATGATGATCGGTGGATATATTCATTCCCATGTCCACTCTCTTCTCTATAAGTAACCATGATTTTTGCGTAATAGATGAATTCTTGCACGCTTCCAGCTGTGTTCTATTTCACTATCTGTGGAGTTCTTATCTGGATGGGAAACGCTACTGGAAAACGATTCCTTTGATAATTCAATGCGGTTACAAAAGCTTGAACCAGGCTCTGATGCACTGACGCATACACACATAATTTCATTCCTATCTGGAAACGAGCAACGGCGATCGATGAACGGTGGAATAGAACTTCAGTGTGATATATTATGTATGTATTAATTATGCATGTAATAATATGTATTAAATGTGCAATGTAAGTATACCATTAACCAATAGGTTTCACAGAGCTTGGGTTTCGATGCAAGTGTTTTCTTTGTTAATTGTAAGCTCTGAAAAGGTAGTCGTCATTCTGAAGTCCTAAAACAATCACAAAAGATGTGCAAAAACACCACCGTCTTGATCCAAACAAAGCCGTATCCTTCTTTTACATGACGTCTAGGCTAGATGTTGGAATCTCTTGGCACACGATACTGATCCTGTTTTCTCAACTCATCCAAGGTTTCTGGTGGCACACCGGTTTTACGTAACCCCTCAAAATCCAATGGAGATAAATCGTGAAACCTTAGTGGCCAAGATATTGGTCCGTTCAACCCAATCTTCTACAACGGGAGAGTTTCTGTGGTGATCCAGACTTCCGTAACCGCAATCCATGCGCGACCAGGTACAGTTTTATGTCATCCAATCACCGTTCAGGAAGCTCGACCAATGGTACACCGGGCGTACAAGACATCCGAGTTAGCACATATGATACGTCGGTGCAAACGGTTACGTGATTAGCGGATGCTCGTTCAACCAATCATATAGACTATTACATTCTATAAAACATGATCTAATTCCAGTAATAAACAAGCATTTGCTGCTATCAATTCCTCGTGTATTTCGTTGGTGTCCGCTGTTCGGGTTGGAGCCAATTCAGTTCTGAGCAGTACAGCACAGATTCTCGTATTCCTAAATTTAATACTACTCCGATTACCACAGTTTTCATCCAGTCAATCGGCGATTGCTTTTTGTGCTGTGCGGTGTTGCTTCAGCCTATTGAAATAAAACACTAGATTAAAGTGCCATGGGTAAACTATTGAGGTA